CCCATTTAAACAAATGATCCTACAATGGTTATCAAGCTCAAAACGACAATTTTATACACATAAGTTACATAAAAGATGGAGAAGAAAACAAAATTACTTACATCTCGTTTACTTGGACAACGAAAGAAAGGTCTCCCGGGGTTCTGTTTTGTGTTCGACGTATAGATGACCAAGTCTAAACCGCAATGACACTTTGAAGGAAATCCTCGACCTCCATTTTCTCCACTTGATTGCCCAGATTCGCATGACATAACTGTATGAGAAGATGGAGGAAAAGATGGACGAAAATATAGAGAAGAAGATGGAGGAGTTGATTGCCCAGATTCTGTAGAAGATAGAGAAGAAGATAGAGAAGAAGATGGAGAAGAAGGTAGAGAAGAAGATGGAGAAGACAAATGAGATTTTAGGGATTTGATTCTCAATTTGGGGATTTTACTATCGATTAATTAGTTTCGTTTAAGTGAAAAACGATGTCGTTTTGACTAACAGAAATCGATTAACGTCGGCTAAACGTCAGTTAACTAGTCTGTTAAAGGATTTGACGACGTGTTGGTTTTGGCTCGGTCAACAGCAGTTTATGATTTACAACAAAGTCAACATGACATATATGCTTTAAATGGCCAGAGAAGAAGTTGATGATTATAATGACCACAATTTGAAAGTTGATGATTTTAAAGACATTTTTCCCATTTTATTTTTTTCAATTTTTAATTTATTTTATTTTTTTTAATCTTGAGGTTGACTGAGATTCTTTGGAGGGAAAGTGGAAAACCACAAAACAAATCTGACACGTCACATTTTGCTAGAAGAACCACACGGGACGTAACTGAAACAAGTGGACCGGCGAAAACTTGATTTTCTGCAAATAACTAAATTGATCTTTTTTTTACTTTCTCTGTTGCTTACTTGCTCTTCAAGAAGTAAATTCAGGACTCTCGTTGCGCCGGACCCTTTTCCGGTTCCTAGGCTTAGTGCTTACTGTGACTGTTGGGGAAGAGGCGTCTTCACGAGTCACAGGTAAGCAAGAATATCGTTCCAATTCTTCTGCGTACCGTTTCCGTGATGGATATCCCAATCAACAATCAAAATTTTCTTGATACCTAGATCCGGCTGCATTAGAGTAAAGCAAAAGAACATGAGAACAAACACACCAAAGGAATCTGACTAAAGAATAGCAAATAAAAGATACTGATAGCATCACAAAAATGAGCACAAGTTGCTACATTGTTGATAAACAAAAACCCATGGCTTCATCTGTCTCAGCATGGTGCCTGGCAATAGCAAATCCATAATCTAATTCTCCTTCTGCAACTTTCTCCGCCACCTCTTAAAATTGTATTGAGGGGGTTAATGTGCAATTGTAGTTTAAGACTGTGCCTAAACTAAGCTGAAGAGTAGGATCAACACTTAATCTGGGGGGAAACTCTACAATTGTTTCGATTCTTCACTTCAATTATTTCCTCTTTTCTTTTAGGGCAAATTTTGTAAACACTAAACTGTAATAACGTTTAAATATCTAAACAGATGCCATGTGGTTATATTGATAGTGTGAAGTGTCACAACAGAGGTTATTTAACATTTTTCTCTTCCTTATTTACCAAAAACACAATGGGAGGAAAAACTAAAATTCTTTAAATACTAAGGCGAAATTCATAAATAGTATTGATTTGCATTCCATACAAGGGGGTTTATGATACCGAATACAGCAGGCTTCACGGTAAAGCCTATATCCGAAGCCATAATATTGTTTTTCCTTTTTTTAGTGCTAATTGAATGACTCAGAAACCCCAACGCTCCAAAACGTTATCAAGAGGTCGGTTTCTGGGTAAATAATATATTAGAGAGGTTTAGACGCAGCGTTGTCTATGTAAGCCTCAGCTTCTTCTTCAGAGAATCTTCCTCCTTCCACAAGTCCCCTTATTAAGGTCTTGGCATAGGCTTTTGCAGGAGGTCTTACAGGGACCTCACCGGATTTGAACTTCTCAACAGCAGAAAGCGTGCAACTGCAAACAAAATATTATTGAGAAACCGCACCAAAGAAAGGAAGTTCGACGAGTTTATTCCTCTCGCAGTTTAGCTCGGCAACAAAAGAAAAGGAATCATGAAAACTTACGTCATTGTAAGTATGGGAATGTCGCCTTTTTTCCCCAACCAGACAACATTTGCATACCAGCTATTCTGTGTAAACAATGTCGATAAACAAAAATAGATGTGATTATTACATTTTTTTTATGAGTGTATCAATCAACATTTGTTGTCTGACTAACCGAAACAGCCTCAGGTAAAATGGATATTTGGTTCTCTGCTGACTGAAGAGCAGCTAGATCAAAGATCGCCGAATCTGAATCCAAATTCAAAGCATTTTCTTGACACAGAACGTCGTTGAACTGCTCAAGCCTGTTCACAAAAAAAGAACAGAAAAAACCACCCTAGTGAATAAGTAGAAAGATCATTAAATGAAGTAAATATGGAAACTGAACGGAAATGAGACGAAACGTGGTACACTTAACGTGATTCTGTACAAACACATTTGAGTTTGATCATTGAGATTAGCAAGGGGATTGGTGAAAGCAACTCCTCCTACACCCCAACGAGCTGTATATTCACGGCCGAAGAACAATCTATGTGGAAAAGTTTCCCACACTATTTCCTTTGGTGGACTTTTATCCATTGAACCAACACATGCCTTTTTCAGTCCATCAACCTGAAAATAAACACAGACAAGTCATCAATGTGTCAATTAAGGCCTGAGCTCTCAGACTCAACCCCAAAACAAAACATGGTTACTTACCTGTCCCCCTTGAATATAGCAAAGAAACCTCGGTTTCCACATGTTGGATCCAAAAGAAGCATACCAAATGTCAACCTTTGCGAGATCAGCTCTCCAAGATGTAGATGCAGTATCTACTTGGTGGTTTTCAATGCTGAGTTTCGAAATTTGATACACGAGTCCATGGGGATCGTCTTCAGTTTCAGAGTCGGAGCTTGAGATAAGGATAATCTATAATGAACAAACAAAAGAAATTCTGTGACAAGAAGAAATACATAAACTGTCTCCAGAAAAAGAAGATTAAGCACAGGAAAACTAGTAAAGAGGCAAAGAAGTTAAGAGGTGGTTGCTAAGTGATAAAGAAGTAAGGTTTTTCGAAATCTGATTTGGCAAGGAAACTCTCTCTGATGAACAACGAAAAAGGAAATGGAAATGGTTGACAAAAAGAAGGGTGCCCAACTGGATTAGGAATTTTCTGATTAATCAGTTTCCACGACAATTCATCTGCAAGTGAAGGCCAATATGCGCATAGCCTTTTGCGTACCTAAACCCACAAGAAACAGATGAGTTTTGTCAATTAGTAACATAAGCCCTACAGAACATATATGACCGAAAAACTGAGCTCGAAAGAGATATGAGGTTAAATCAGATTGTGAAATGAGGACGTAAGAAGATGGTATAGAGCTATACCGCTTGTATGACAGGCCATGTAGACTCAAATGGGTATGCTTCAGAAGAACCTTGAATTATTTTATCTTCAAGCAAAACTTGGACACATGCAAGTGAAGACTTTGCAATTGAGTCAAGATTGTACCCTCCCTCTAAGGCCATCACAATCTTTCCATGTGTAAACTCCATCAGCTGAGAACAATGGTGAAACAGAAGGATATCGAATCCCAGTATAGATCCTATGGAATGCAAATACAAACAATGAACAAAAGAGGGAGTTCACATCAATACCAACCTTCTTCAACATAACTGAATATCCATATGGTGTTACGCGACAACCCCCGAGCGGATCACCAATAGCTGTCAAGAGGAGTTTGAAAAGGTTACACAACTCTGAACGTGACATAGCCTTAAAATAAAATAATGCTTAAAACTATATATACCTGCATCAAATCCAGCTGAGAGCAATATAATATCAGGGTTAAATTCCCTAGCCACAGGAATCAAGATATGGTCCCATGCGGCAAGATAGTCTGCATCTCCACATCGTCCTTGATCCCATGGAACGTTTATGTTAAAGCCTTCACCTGGACCTTCCCCAACCATGTTATAATCTCCATCATCCCCTGATGGATAGAAACTTCCATACTCATGCCTAACCACAAATGCGTTTTTAATTATTAACCAAGAATAAAACTCAATAGAAATCAAGTGAAAAGGTAACACTAACAGAGTTGAACATTTGTAGCGTCAAAAGAAGAGTAAATAAAGGTCACAATTACATACCTATGAACAGAGAAAAATAGTACACGAGGATCTTTCCAGAACATCTTCTGTGTGCCATTTCCGTGATGGACATCCCAATCAACAATCAGAATTTTCTTGACACCTAGATCCGGCTGTATTCAAGAAAAGCCAAAAGAACTTGGAAATAGGAAAACCTAAGGAATGTGGCCAACGAGTTTGAAAATAAGTAAGAGAATACAAGGACATCACAAAAGTCAATAGAAGTCTTTACTCTTTCGTTTAGTAGATAACTAGCAGCAACAGCAACATTGTTGAATAAACAAAAACCCATGGCTTCATCTGTCTCAGCATGGTGCCCAGGGGGCCTGACAATAGCAAAGCCAGAATCTAACTCTCCTTCTGCAACTTTCTCTGCCACCTGTTAAGTTGCAAAAAAAACATCGTTACCTATCATTATAGCAGTTTTCTATCTTCCACTAAGATAGGAGCAAGTCATCTGTATGCATCTAGTGTTATTATTACCTTTACAACAGATCCAGCAGCAAGATATGCGGCTTCAGATGAACCTCCGTTGAGATAAATCGAATTCAACTGTGAAGCAATCTTGTTTCTCCGGTAATCTTTCTGTTTTGTGCTAATAGTCTTAACTAAATTAACATGGTCCTTTGTGTGAACCAATTGGAGATGCTTATCCTCTGCTTTGCTACTGCCAAGAACCACACATCTGCAAAAGGAAAGACCAAAAATTGTGATGATAGTTGGGATTGGATACACACCCGAAAGCCTAAATTCCAACTTCTTAACTAATGGGGTGCCAGATTTACTCTAATGAACAGTCTTGTGAGTGAAAATTAAACGGAAATGAAAAACATCGATTCAAGAAAGGATTATAAACATTCTGCCCATAGGACATGGGAACCCGAGACGGAAAATAACCAACATTATTGAGCTATGAAACACCTAATATATAGAATAAAATTCAGCAGCATACGAACCATTTGACAATTTCAAATTGAGATAGTTAATGGTCTATTAACAAACAATAATAACAGATTAGGATCCGTTTGTGAGCTAAGAGAATCAGAAATTACCCAATTTGACTAAGTTTGAGCATTTTTCTAGGGCTTTATTATCAAACAAACAACAGAGCAGGCACGAGAAGAGGGGAAAAGGATGAACCTTTGGGAAACTCCGGCAAGCTGAAGCTTCTCCCAGATAACTCTGATGCGATCGGGACACTCTGGGTGATCTTCACCGTCAGGTGTGTCGTGTTTGCACATTGTCTCGTCGTAAATAAGACCCACCTTTCGCTGGATTTTCCCGGCGACTTCAGCGTCCAAATTTTCGTAATATTTCCCGGAAGATTGCCCGGCCGTGGCCATATCCGAGAGATGTGATGATGTGACGACAGTCTTATTGTCCGAGGAAGGTGAAGAAGAAGGGTCCATGTTTGGTCTCAGCTCTGTGTCTCCAAACTAAAAGGTATGGGTATTTATTATCCCTTTTTCTTTTATTTTTTAATTGAGGTTTGAGTTTCACCATTTTCCGAGATTATATGGAGGGAAATTGGGGAAACTTAACTTTTTAACCAATCAGATATTTTCATGCGAGACCAAGGGTTTAGACCAGTGAACCGGCAATAAAACTCTTCTGGAGTCAATGTGCAATTTTTTTTTTTTTTAGATAGCTGAAACTCACAATCACTGTTTTTTTTTTTTATGATGATCGTGTGGTTACATGACAAAAAGGTTCTTGTGCTACAGTGAAACACAAAAATATCTTCCTTGTAATTTTACCTCTGTATCTTAGTCCATTCTGTGGCTGTTGGGGAAGAAACGTTTTCCACGAGAGACAGGGGATTTAGGTTTGTGATGAGGAATAACAATCTTCTTCCACTCCTCCTCATACACTTCTACAGCACAGTAAATGTGGCTCTTCCCGCCCTTTTCAACCAACGAGCGCAGCTTGTGGTATACATCTGCTGCGAATTTAAGCTCACTACTTAGAGTACCCTGCCTCTTCCATTTCCGACATACTTGATACCGAGTGGTGATAACTGCTGCGGTAATGGCAAGCTCCCTTTCTTTCTTTAACTCCCAGATGTAACGCTCATAATCTTTTTTGAACTTCTCCAAGTCAAGGTGCATATATTTCTTCAGCTCCTGCGACATGGTTTCAAGATCTGGTTCGAGATCTTCTGAGTCCATGTCTTCATCTTCTGAGTCCATGTCTTCATTCTTAAGTCGGCTTCTTGATCTATTTTCTTGGAGTTTCTTATCTAGGCGTTCAGCTGTCGCTACCGCCTCATCTTTCTCCCGCATCAAACTCTCTATTTTGGCACGAAGACCATGAATTTCTTTCGCTCGAGCACTATCCAAGATTAGCCGTGCTTCTAGCTCTTTCGTTTTGGTATTTAACTCTTGTCTCCTTGCCTCCAATTCTCCATCTCGAGCAGCCAGCAGAGACTTTAACTCTTCCACTGTATGAAGGACAGCGTCAGCGGAGTTTCTTTCTGCACTTAGGTTCTTTAAATTCTCATTAGATGCCATCAATGAGTCAGAAGCAGCAGAAAATGTGTACCTTAGCTCTCTATTCTCCTGAGAAAGGTAATCAAACATCAACAATTGCCTGAAAGGGAATGCAAACCAAACTAATTCCTGGAAGCGAAAACAACAAGGTGAGGAAGGATAGCCGAAACTTCACTTACCTTGGAGGAAGTTTTTTTGCCGAAAGTAATGTGATCCTCAAATTCAATACCCTTGACATAGCTTGAGGTCGAACCAGAACCGGGAGCCTTTCTTTTATTGGTGATAGAGAGATGTGAGTGGTGAAAAAGATGAATGCTGCTTCTGGGCTCTAAGGAGGGAAAGGCGGTCAGGTTATGACCTTCTATCCTTGCGCCACTAACTGATTCATGGCTAACAACTAATGAAGATGGAATTGGTAGACAAGAAGAAAGTTTCCCTGCTGGAGTTGGGGTTTTCTGATTAATTAGCTTCCACGATAATTCATCTGCAAGTGAGGGCCAATACATGCAATGTCTCTTGCGTACCTAAACCCACAAGAAACAGATGGGCTTTGTCAGCTAGTAACATAGGGCTCTAAAATATTTACGACAGAAAACTGAGGTGGAAAGAGAAATCATAGCCAATTCATACAAACAAGATTGTTTCAGACTGTCAAATCAGAAAGTTAGAAATAGGATGATAGAGAGCCATACCACTTGTATTACACGCCGTGTAGATTCTAATGGGTATGTTCCAGAAGAACATTGAATTGGTTTTTCTTCAAGTAAAACTTGGACACATGCGAGTGAAGACATTGCCATTGACTCAAGATTGTACCCTCCCTCTAACGCCAGTACTATCTTTCCTTGTGCAAACTCCATCAGCTGAAAGAAGATTTGTGAAACAAATTAAACGAGCTCAAATCTAAGTGTAAATTATGTAGCTTTGTTATAGTCAGGGGTAGAGAGACCTGTGGCACTCAAATAACAAACAATGGAGGGAAAAGGAAGTTCACTAAAACACCAACCTTCTTCAACATAACTGAATATCCATATGGTGTTACACAACAACCCCCGAGTGGATCACCAATAGCTGTAAACAGGAAGGTGGAAATGTTACACTCCTCTTACTGTGACATAGTCATGAACAGTAACACTCCTCTTACTGTGATACAGCCATGAAACTAATAGTTAGCCCATATATACCTGCATCAAATCCAGCTGAAAGCAAAATAATATCGGGATTATATTCCTTCAGCACAGGAATCAAGATATGGTCCCATGCGACAAGATAATCTGCATCTCCACAACCTCCTTGCTCCCATGGAACGTTTATGTTAAACCCTTCACCTGGACCTTCCCCAACCATGTTATAATCTCCATCATCACCTGATGGATAAAAACTTCCGTGATCATGCCTAGCCACAAATGCATTTCTAGTCACTTTAAACCTCAGCAAAGATCATATGAACAATTAGTTTGGAAACAAGAGTAGACAGTGGCTGCAAATATATACCTATGAACAGAGAAAACTAGTACACGAGGATCTTTCCAGAACATCTTCTGTGTACCATTTCCGTGATGGATATCCCAATCAACAATCAGAATTTTCTTAAAACCTAGATCCGGCTGCAATCCATAGAAGCAAAAGAACATGAGAACAAACACACCAGAGGAATGTGACCAATCAATTTTGAGAGCAAGTAAAAGATACTAAAAGCAAAACAAAAGTCAATAGAAGTCCTTACTCTTTGGTTTAGTAAATAACTTGCAGCAACGGCAACATTGTTGAATAAACAAAAACCCATGGCTTCACCTGCCTCAGCATGGTGCCCTGGGGGCCTGACAATAGCAAAGCCACAATCTAATTCTCCTTGTGCAACTTTCTCCACCACCTGTTAAATTACAAGAAAACATTGTTAGCTATCGTCAATCAGTCGGATAATCCTCCAATGTGAAAGAAGCATTTGTATGCATCGAGTATTACCTTCAGAACAGATCCAGCTGCAAGATATGCGGCTTCAGATGAACCTCCATTCAGATATATTGAATCAAACTGTGAAGCAGTCCTGTTTCTCCGATGATCTTTCTGTTTTGTGGTAATCCTCTTAACTAAATTAACATGTTTCTTTGTGTGAACTAACTGGAGATGTTTATCTTCCGCTTTGCTGCCACCAAGAACCACACATCTGCAAAGAAGGTTATTTTCAACAAAATCCAATCGTAAATACACTAGGAAAGACTACATTCCATCTTCCTAACTAATGGGATACCTCGTTTAGTCTAATTGATAGTCTTATGAGTGAAAAGAATGAAAAAAAAAAAAAACTTTACACGAGAGTAAGACATGACGAAAATAAGCCAAAAAATCCAAAACCGTAAATAAACAAAAAAATAAAAACAGCCTATAAACAGTATGAAGAATTTCAAGTAAAAGAAATGTCTTCACTGAAACAGTTAAGCAAGCAACATATATGAATGTAGGATTAAAAAAAATCAGCAACATCTTTAGATTCTCTATGACATGTACAAATCACACTGAGAAAATCAAATGTCGTGATGCCAAAGAAGGAAAACAAAACGAGACCTGTTTCTCAGCTCAAAGAATCAGTATAGTACCCAATTTGGGTAAATATTCAGGATTTTCTAGGGCTTTATCCCCAAAAAGACAGCAAAATTGAACAAGAAGAGGAAAGTAGAAACCTTTGAGTGACTCCAGCGAGCTGAAGCTTCTCCCAGATAACTCTGATGCGATCGGGACACTCTACGTGAACTTCACCGTCAGGTGTGTCGTGTTTGCACATCGTCTCATCGTAAATAAGTCCCACTTTTCGTTGGCTTTTCCCGGCGACTTTTCCGTCACAGTCTTTAAAGTTCTTTCCGAGAGATTTGCCGACCATTGTCATCTCCGGGAGATGTGACAGTCTTATTTTCGAAGACGAGGTGAGAGCAGCTGAAGGGTCAAGAAGCAGAAAATTGAAAAACGAAACACTACTCTGAAGCTGCTAATAAATATCTTGCTTTTTAAGTTTTTTTTTTTAAAGTTTTGTTGATTAATAAAGAGCTTCTTTGGAGGGAAATTGAGAAACCTAGCAACTCAACCAATCAAAAACTGATATTAGATGACCGGTTGAACCGCAGAAACCAATTTAAAATTGGTGAACCGGCGTAAAACCTAAACCCATTTTTCTGCCAACGGCGAATTTATCGTTTAATCTGTAAGAGTAAGATTATATTTATTTTTGTTTTCTATGTGGGTGAATTGGGTTTCTGTGGAAAAATGTATATACAGAAGAGGGAGTTAATGTGCAACGATAGAGAAGCTGTAGAGAAGGAGCGACACTGAATCTGCCATCTGGAGTGAAACTCTTCACAAAGACGTTTTGTTACTTGTTACTTGAGCTGTGTTTACAATGATAACTCCACTGTACTTACCTACGACTAGGATGTCACATTAACACTCAAAAACATTTCTTCTTCTTCTTCTAGTATTCTCAAAATGGTCAAACTACTAACTAAAACCGAGATATGTACCTCTAAGCTGTTCACTGTGACTGTACCTCAAAGCTGAAGAAGCTTATCTAGCTGCAAGCTGGTCTTTCTCCAGAAGATCCACAAGGCCTCTAGGAGGGTATTCGAAGAAAACTAATCCTTGAGGCTGCTCTTCTGATCTGCTGGCTAGCCATTCTGCACACGAATTCTCTCCTTTGGAGATATGGTATATGTCACACTCCCAGTCCCTCAAGATCATGTCCTTGCACGATCCCAGAATCGTTTTTCTTTTAGGAAACAGGTACGACTTTGTTGTTAGAGCCTTGATGATCTCAGAGCTTGTTGTCTCTAATTGGATTCTTCGGAAACCGCTGTCCCACAGAAATCTGAGGCCATGGTATATAGCCAAAAGCCCAGCTGTGACTTCAGAGATGCTCTTATGGCACCTAATGTACCCAAACAACCACTTCCCTGACTGGTTACGCACTATTCCAGAGGATACGGTTTGATCAGACAGAGTGTTTAAAGTTCCTTGTATATTAAGTTTCACCAAGGGTGGTGCCCAAATGTTCTCAAAACCAGGAGGTAAAGTTGCTTCTTTGCTCAATTTCTCCGGTGATCTTGAGGAAGTGCTTTGTGCTTCTGCAATTAGCTTCAGAGCCACACTCGGGGTCAGGCATTCAGTGTCTATGTCCATGTCAACCACATCCCCATCATCAGAATCTTTATCAATTTGAGAAGCAGTTCCAGGAACAAGTGCTAGTGAGTTTTTGGTCTGGAGAAAAAAACCCCAAAGGAAGTTGTCTGTTTTCTTCTGTGTATTGATGAGAACTGCAAACAAAATGGAAGTTCTGTTTATGCTTTTTTTTTTTTTGGACACACAAAATGGAAGTTATTCATTGAGTGTTTATGGACATAAAAGAAACATATGTAGTAATACAGTAGGCATACACTGGGAGGTCTTGTCCAATAGTTTCGAGGAGAATATCAACAGATCAGTGCCGTTTACATCAACTTTAATCATGGCATTGCGAGTTCCTATTGCCTCAAACAGATGAGTATATTCCCCTTTAAACCTAAAGAGTATGATTAAATAATTTTATTGATAACAGTTATTCAACAAGAAGAAGAAGCTTGTCCTTCATAGAAAGGGCTTTTGAGTACCTTTCTGTTTTCTTCTCATCTGGGAAAAGGTAAACTTCAACATTCAATAGCGTTGGGCTTCTGCCAAACATATCATTAAGAATGTGGCATGTAGGAAGCAATTCAACCTTGAGTAATGCAGGCATCATCTTAGAAAGTCTGAGTGCCTTCCTCGTGATATTGGATGCCGGTTTAGCCCAAAACTCGCAGTCAAACTCAGGCGGAGTAGCATAATCCATAATGCGTCCGCTGGTACAATAGTTAAAAGGAAGAGTTCATCAATTACAAGCAAATACAAACTGTTTGGTTAGTAACTTGTGAAGGTCAAAAGATCCTAGTCTAAAAGAAAACAAAACAGTCAAAATAAAAGTGCAATATGACATCATGAGTCTTAATAGGGTCATGCTCTTGAAAACACAGCAAGTTCCGGCATTTGCAAATCGTCAGTTTCAACCAAGTAGCATAAGTATACTGTGAAAGAGATTTAAGTAATTAGTGTAATGGCAACAATCTAGCTGTATAGAGTGATCTGATTAACGCTTCTAACATAACAGATGTTTGGTAGAAAAAAATATTATGAAGTTTCAAGTAACTCACTTCCAAGTAGGATGCTGAGCTGGTAGATATAGAAGTAGCTGCGATAGTTCTTCATCAGAGACTGATTGACGTATCTCGTTGAAACCATGATCTATAGTTTTATCACCAACTTCCACAATTGTCCCTAGAGAAACCAAGAAAGAGCAAGACATATTTTTTAGATCCAATGCAAACAAGTTCAGGATTATTTGGCTTTCAGGAAGCAGAGAGAAGGAAAATATATAACCTTCTACAACTTGTGTAGCATTAGCAGCTTTTTGCTTAATTCTTAAGCGAATCTGCAAAGCACGTGGACTAGGAGGCTCGACCATCTTTGATTGAAGTATCCTTGGATTGGTTCTCTGTCTCACTGGTGTAGTCGTCAGACTCAAAGCTCGAAGACCGCAAACGATTTCTCTTTTGAAACCTTCTGCAGGAAAAGCCAAAACACGTTTTGGATCTCTTGGTGCTTTAGAAGTTGGACGAGCCGAGGTATGTCTTGGTGCTTCAGAAGTTGGACGAGCCGGGATAGGTCTTGGTGCTCCAGAAATTGGACAAGCCGGGGCATGTATGGGTGCTTCAGGAGTTGGTTGAGCCGAGACAGGCCTTGGTGTTTTAGGAGTTCGACGAGCAGGGACAGGATTTGGTACTTGATAAGTTGCACGAGCACGCTTAACAGGAGAAACCGCCATCACTTTGCCTCCAGATGAAAGTTTCATAGCCTCCACGGGTGAAATCAACTTCACCTTTGAAGGTCTAGATGTTGGGTTCCCTCTGGGGACTGGATTAGAAGATTCAACCCTCAGCTTACTCCTGCCAGGAACTACTTTGATTGAATCTGAAGGCAACTGACCAGGACTCATTGTGATTGATGAGAAATTCTCAACCTTGAACCAAAAAAAAAACGTAACCGGAATTAAATAAAAAATCAGAAAACCCAACAACATATTTAGGATGAGAAGAAATAATATCGACGAATCTCTTCTCACAGTCTGCTTGAGAGAACTTCAAAAATGAGATAACAAACTCCATTGCAGATGATTATCCCACTAGAAATTTAAAACCAAGCTTAAAAAAACCACCGATTCTCAAAGAAATCATGTGTACAGTAGAGAAGTTCTATAGTCGGAACCCTAGATTACCAAGCCCTAACAAAACCCATTTGCAGGTGAAAAGTACGAAACGCGTGACAAGGAATGCAGCAGATAAAACCGGAACACAGAATCAACCAGTTTGTTTTTTTTGTTTTTAATAAGAAAAAACGAAGAGCAAAGACTTCACAGAATCATCAAAGACAAAGTATCTTACACTATTTTTTGCTTACGAAGTACGGAATATAAAGCGAGGAACAAAAATAAAAATGATCAGTAAACCCGAGAATACACGACGAACACAGGGGAGATGAGAAAAATTAAGAATGTGGTGGTTTCAGATACCAAAACGATTCAACTACTTACCGTGGAATTGAAACCGCCGGCGAGTTTTTAACGTTGAAAAGGGAACAGACACACTGTGGAGAGAGAGAGAGAGAGAAAGTGGAGCGAAGGTGAGGGGGGGAAGAGAGGGGAACGACGAAGACGACAATAATCTTTCTCAGTCTCTCTGAGAATTCGATATTGGCAAATATTACCCCCTACCTCTTTTACTTTAAGTTAAAAGGCCCTTAGTTTCTTTAACTACTAAAAAAGTGCCAACTTTTCATAAATTTGCAAAAACGCCCATGTGCTAATAAAGGGGAGATAACGATTTAGATGTTTGAGCTTCTATACTCTCTATAGTAATGTTTTTAGGTGCATTTACCTTCATACATAATATGGTTTATAATGGAAAATCTCTAGTTATAGGATTTTATAGTTATGATCACTCTCTTGATTTTTTCATTCAACATGAACATGGTGCTACACAAATTATCCCACTTGCTTGCTTGTATAATATGTTTTAAATAAGAAAATATGGCGTTTTAAACCTCTGAGATGTATGCAACTTGGATTTGGGTATGTGATATATGTTAATTACATAAACATGTAGAATTTGAAATATGAATGTAAGAGATTAAATAATACGGGTGCTGCCAGTTTAGAAAAGCTAGACGAAGGTTACCTATATTTGGTAACCTCGAGTATGAGTCCATATATTGTCATCAATAGCACCTCTAACATCATTCGATGAAACTTGTGTGTTCCTACTTTTTAATTAATGGTATACTAGTAAGTAGGTCCTTCCTTGCGGATACAGATGCGTACGACTTTGGGGTGAAGCCATAAACGGAATTCTTAATTCTTTACTCCAAGCTTCGTTGAGTAGGAAGAAGATTATGTACATTTGTCATATAGTATATGACTACTCCAAATGAAAATAAAATAAGTCCAATCTCAATTTTTAGTCAACTAGCAAATTGACTTGTGACACAAGAAAAAAGTTAAGCTAATATGGCCAATTATAAACCCCTAAATCCATATGACTCTTTAACAACGCAAATCTCTTTGAAACGAGGCCTTTGGTCGTCAGATTTGGAATCAGTGGAGAGATCAATGCATTGACGTGAACACTAGTGGACAATATTTTGACCAATCAAGACACCAGTCACTTTCTTCTTTTTTTCATCAACGGAGGGCGAGAAACTGAAGAATAGTTGAAGTGAAAAAGATGGGTTTCATCATCTAGTGAAAATGGAGTTGACTCTTGTGTAGTATACTGATGTTGAATATGAGCAACAACAGGCACTACTTGTTCCACAACTTGATTAGTTCTTGATGATGGAGCAGCTTCACTCCAATCTTTGTTATATAAAACTTGATTCGTTCTTGATGACAGAGCAGCTTCAGTCGAAATTCCGTTATCAACAGCTTGAATAGTTCTTGATGATGGAGCAGCTCGATCGATAGGATCTTGGATATCCACAAGTAGCTTAGTTCTTGACAATGGAACAGTTTGATCAATAGAAACTTTGTTAACCGCAGCTTGTTCCACTTGCATAGTTCTTGATAACTGAGCAGCTTCTTTAACATGAGGATTAGCAGATGAGGAATCACGGCACTCTTCACATAGCCAAATACGAGGAACACGTTGTAAGATGACCCTGGCGCAGTAACTTAAACACACAAAAACAAAAGAAGAAGATTATATTCAACTAGAACATGTGAGTGAGTTTTGTGCGCTAGCTCAATAAACAGGGGTAACTAATATGAAACTAAACGAGTCATTACGTATGCTCTCTTGTGTCTCTGCACTTGAAGCATGTCATAACCAAAAGCTCATTAGCAGCGCTTCCGCATACTTCACACGGCTTCTTCTTGTTATTCTTCTTCTTCTTCTTCTTCTTCTTCTAAATACATATGTAGCAAATTAAAGATCAGTAATAAAGCAATTCGAAACTAGCTAGCTTTCCAATTAACACAAATGAACATTATAAAAATAAAAATAAAAACTCAGAAATCAAGAAACCCTAAAAGATGCAAAAATTGAATCTTGATTACAAAAGAGGGGCGCAAGTACAAATGCAATCGCTTTAATAAAATCGAAAACCCAGAACAATAAAAATCGCAAGCAAAGTAGCAAAATTTACCGCGGAATCGGAAAGGTTTATTATATCTGATGGAGACTCGTAACCACTTTTGTCGACCATTGTTATCAAATATCAATCAATCAATCTAAAAAAAAAAAAAAAGGCAAAAGGGTCTCTCTTCAAATCAACGGAGTCAAGATTGAAACCCCTTAAAAGATTTGATCTTTTTTCCTTCTTCTTGATTCAGTTTGTGATTATCTTTCTCTCACGAACGACTTTGGGTTTTAACAAACTTCTTCTTGCTTCTCTCCAAACCCCAATCTTGAATGGAGTTTTTTTTTTTCTTTTTTTTTTTCTTTTTAAATAGATATAAATACGAAAGCGAGCTTCAAATTCTATTATTTATTATTTATATAAGATTTGGGGATAACTTTCACGTTTATAAAAAGTTTTAGGAAAATTTAATGTTTAATCTCCGAGATCTAAGGAATATTATCCAATTAAAGTTACAAAAGTAACAAAACAAAAACAAAAAAGGAAAAATATGTGCCGACGTGGCATTTTCCAAACCATGTACTTATATTAATCCAGCTTAGCTTTCTCACCAAGTTTTCTTTCTCCTAATTATGTTTATATGTATTTATTAAAGTGCTATTTTACAACAGTTTCTAATATATATTTTTCAATAATAGTTGATTACAACCCAAACAAAAGGAAAAAGATTGAAACTTTTCATATTTAAGAAGAAGAACAACAAAAAAAAAGTAAAGCGTTTCCACAATGGACGTAGTTGTGAGAAAAATTGTTTGAAACCAAATTAGTAATCTAATTGTCGCATGGAAACAAACAAAATATATAGCACACCCCTAAATTCACACCTTGGAAAAAGCATCACGTATCAATCCACCATGTTCCAAAAGACAGAAGAATGTGCACAAGAATCAAATGATGATCAAAGTAGCCGAATCAAAATGACTTGTGACACAAGAAGGAAAGCTTTTTCAAACAACCCTAAATCCATAGATGTCTCTGTCGTCGGTACAAGCATTTTGATTACCAGAGTCGCTTGTTGTACGCCCCTATCAACAACTTGATGATGCCTAGTTCTTGATGATGTATAAGCAGTTTGATCAGTACAAGCCACAACTCGATTGCTTCTTAAATTACTAGTAACTAGGCCATCTGAGGAACAATCATCACATATCCATGTCAAAGGAACATATTCTTTCTTCACCCTCGTGCAATATCTGAAACATATGAATTAATCAATCAATTGCTGACTGTATATTAATCCTTTACTTGAGTAGATCGGAGGAATGATTGATCTTACATATGCTCTCGTGTGTCTTTGCACCTGAAGCATGTCATTATCTCATCCTCATTGGCATCAGTACCGCATATTTCACAAGGCTTCTATACGTACCAAATTATAAAGATCACTCTCTGAATCGTTTGCTACCGAAGAAAACATAAATCCCAGAAAGAAAGACGAAGATAGAATTTCTAAGAATCGACAAAGTCTATAAAGACGCACAAGAAGAGAAGACGTAAAGCAAGAGAAACCATAAAGTAAGTTACTCGAAAATGCAATTGGGGTATAGCTTCTTTACCTCGGCAAGGCTTAGCTCTGAGCCTGAAGAAGTTTGCGAAGCTTCTGATCCAGCCTCATGTCCACTTTCAACGTCCATTGCTATCGATCAAAGGGTTTCTTCAATGGCCTTGACTGAAACCAGGTTTTGATCGATCGTTTTCTTGACTTGGAAGCAACAGTTTTTTACTTTCGTTTTCTTTTTCCTTTCAAGAGCGTAGACAAATTTTTATGCGCTTGAACCCCAAAACTTGAACCTTGCTTTAATTAATTCTATACGAAAACCAAGTTCAAATTCGTTCGCAAAATCAGTATTTATATGTGTTTTTTTCTTTTATAAATAGTCAAATTTCTTACTTTAGTTATCCCTTGTTTATAGAGTATAAAAGTCTGGGATCAACTATATGAATAAAGTGTACCATTTACTGTCGATGGAATTATATAAACAGCATAACCTCTACAAGTAAATATTTATTTAGTACCCATAAAAATCTACAAGTAAATACCAGGAGGTAAATAAGGTAAAACAAAAGTCAAGAGCTGTAATCTTTGCTTCTTACACCACAATAGAACACAATCAGAGATTAGTAGCACTAATCTATCTACCATTTTCTTTGATACAGCTGTAGCCACTCGCATTGAATCAATCCCTATCCCTGTAATGTCTCTGCAATTGCTTCCCGGGACTCCTGTGGTTGGTATATCTGAATAAAGGCTGATTCAACGAAAACCAAGCAAAACTCATAACATCAGAGACGAGAACAATCTCATTTGGAGACTTGATATACATGAAAGCTATGATGATGAAGCTCTATAACCAAACTGAATCTACTAATTTGAATTTTGAAAGGTCTTAGATTTTGAAAAATCAAGGAAATAACCTACTTCATAGTCATTGTCAACCACATCTCCATCATCAAAATGTTGAGCAGTTTGACTGGAAGTTCCTGGAAGAAGTGCTAAAGAATTTTTTGTCAGGAGAAAAATTCCCCAGAGAAAGTTACTTGTTTTCTTCTGCATCTTGATCATAACTGCAACCACAAAAAGAGGTATATATATATAATCTTGAAGCCAATGATAAACCTGAAAGAATACTTTAAGCTTACTCTGAGAGGACTTGTCCAGTAGTTTTGAAGAGAATATCAACAATGGTATGCCATTCATGTTAATTTTGATCATGGCACTGCGAGTCCTCATGGCCTCAAAGAGATTATTATCACGTTCCTCCGAAAACCTGCAAGAATAGTAATTTTTGTGATAACTATTAACAAAAAGCGTTTCCTTTGTAGAAAGAGAGACCTGTGTACCTTTTTGTGTTCTTGTCATATGGGAAAATGTACATCTCGACATCTGAGAGCCCAGGGTTTCTGTTCACAAACAAATCACTCAGAAGATTGCCTATAGGAACTAATTTGACATTGAGTAAGACAGGGATCCCCTTTGAAAGTCTGTACGCCTTCGCATGGACTTTAGATGGCGGTTGAGCTAAAAACTCGCCATTAAACTCAGATGGTGTAGCAGAGTCCACAATGCGTCCCCTGTGATAGTGCAGAAAGAAAAATTTATAAAATATATACATCTTCAGTTTCAGGATTTTCAGCAATGTAACAAAGCCTCATGCTAAAGAAACTAAGAATTCCTTTTAAGAATGCAGATAAGGCTAAGCACAATGAGTGAAAAAGGGTAATTTGCCAACATATCCCATGGAAATTGTGAAATTAGTAAAAGTGATTTAGAATGATCTGATTGTAGCATAAAACATATATAGTAGCGCAAGAAGACATATTGTATAAAGAACTCAGTAACTTACTTCCAAGTAGGGAGCAAAGCTGGACGATATGGAAGTAATTGCAACAATTTCTCAGATAAGATTGATCGGCATATCTCGTTGGAACTGTGATATTTAGCTCCATCACCAACTCTCGATTTTGAGCCTTGAAAAGCCAAAAAGTATACAAAATCAGCAAAATATGTTTTTTTGTCTTCTGAGTAAGAGAAGTGCGTTATATAAAGCCTTTAGAAAGGAAATAGATAGTTAAGAAAAACCATAAAGAGAAGAACCAAAAGACACCACCTTCTACTACTGCTTGTGCTTTGGAAGTTTGTCTTAAGAATCCTGGACGAATCTGGAGAGTAGGCGGACTAAGAGGCTCAACCTTTTTAGGTGGAAGGACAACTGAATTGGTTTTGTGAGCCCCTACCGCAGAATTAAAACTCCTAGCTCTTGGAAACATAGCAGTTTGTTTTGTTAAACTCATTGCAGAACGAGCTGAAAATGGTCTTGGTACTTTAAAAGTTGACTTATTGCCTCCACATGAAAGTTTTCTGACTTCCTCTGGTGAAATCAACTTCATCTTTGATGTTTCAGGAATTTTTTTCCATTTGGGAACTGGATTTGAGGATTCCACCCGCACTTTATTTCTATCACTTTTAGGGACTGCTTTAATAGAGTCAGAAGTAAATTTGTTTTGAACAGGTCTCATCGAACAATCAGCACAGACAAAACGTATTGAGGTCTCAAATGAAATTTCCCGCATGCAATAACTGGAAAACAGAGATAAAATTGAAAGAGAATTAGTAAAAGACAATCAAAATATTAATTTGACTACATAAGCAAAACTTATAAGATAAGATATTACTTCTCACCGGTGGTTACAGGCTATACGGCACTTAGAGCAAGTTACAAGTGACTCCTTCCATCCTTGATGTCCACATGTTTCACAAATTGACTTCTACAATAATTGCAGTAATGAGAATCATCAGCAAGCAAACACTAATTTGGGAAGCAATCATGAAAATGTATTGTTACTCTACATGGAATTAGTGTAGAGCAATATGAAAAACCAGTGTGATACTGCCATACAATTGTACAAATGACGCATATATACAACTTAAAGAGAATGATCAGGAGCCATATAAAGGCATAACGATATGGGTATGCAGATATTTTTCTAACTCTAATGTTTCTTCGTTAGGACTAACTCTTGATCCTTCAGCACTTCTAAAGGACTTGCATGGTTTGTCCTTTAAACGAGATAATATAACGCTCAGATCAATAGGAAAATCATTGAACAAGAGTGTAAAGCTAATATACTTTTGCAACTCATCAAAGAGAACCAAGTTGGTCGGATCACTGGCCAAATGTGTATAAATATGTACAGTAAGACTGGCTCAAGTATTTCAAACAAGAGACTCAAAAAGGAAGTTTTTATTTATTTAAGAGTAAAGCCAATATGATTTTGCAACTGATCACAGAGAAGCCATAGTAACCTTTGATAGATTCGATCCAGCCATAAATCATGTCAAAAACATAATTCTAGCTTATAAGATACATGCACAAGAAATCAGATCCGAGTATTTCAAACAAGAAATGAAAGCTCACTCAGAACAAAGAAAAAAATCAATCCACAGGGGAATCAAAAAAGGAAAATCATTAATCAAGACAGAACAATTAACAAGATTGCAACTCAAATAAAAAAAAGGTTATGATCATACTTTATCAAGCCAGAACCCATGTCAAAAAGACTATCTTACAACACTAATCTCCCCTTCATGGGAAAACAAATTAGCAACCTTTAACAAAAACAAAATCGAAAGCAAGTAACCACCGAAAGCCAAGGATTCTCATTTAAATTCCATGTCCAGTAAGAGATTCCAAAAAGGGAAACTCTAGATTAATAACCCTTACACATCCCCCAAAACCCATTTTAGTACAGTTGCCAAACGCGTGATACCAAAATGCAGATAAACCAGAAAAATCAGTTCGTCAAGTGAAGAACCAAACTTTCACAAAATCCCCAGACAAAGATCTGAAACAACCCTTGCTTGTGAATTACGGAACCAAAGGAGCAACGATGGTGTAAGAAACCCAAGAAAAAAAAAGTACAAAAACAGAGCAAACGATGGAGAGAAAAAAGAAAAACAGAGCCGGTGCTGGTACATACCATAGGACTACGGTATGCTTTGAGTCCTAGGAAGCTCAAGTGTTTAAAACTCGTCGGAAAGTTTCGATTTTTGGAGGAAAAAAAATGGGTTTAGAGAGAGAATGGGGAAGAAATGTGGGGAGAGGTGGAGCTTGAGAGGGACCAGCAAGAGAGAGAGTGAGAGGAGTTATCACACGGAAGAAGAAATGTTTTAAAAATAAACAATTGCAATAATTAACATACCTTTAACTTAAATTTCAAAAAGACCCTCAATTTCTTTAAAAATACGTAATAACCCATAACCTATTATTCTGCACCCATATCGACGAATGTCTTCGTCTGTCTTTACTCTCAGCCTTTTTTTTGTTTTTTTTTTTTTTTGTCACTATTTTGGCTAGCTCCATAGGTTACAATTTTTGAAATCATTTCCCAAAATGTCTTTTCATCTCGGATTGGACAGCTTAAAAGTTAAATATATTGATGTGTGGTGTGACTTGTGAGTCAATGACACTTGGAAATAATGCATCAGTAAAAATTGGTAAATTCTTCATAAAGATTTCAACACATCTCATTAACACTACTACTGCATCATCACTTAGGCCATAGCCAATAGCTGGCACACAAAACATCACCACATCGCTGTTTTTCTATGGAGTTGGGATGGTGACAAGCATATAATCTACGGAATATACAAAGTACAAACTAGTTCATAAGGACGAAACGCAAGGGGAACCAAAAAAGTGACCATATAATTCATTCAACCATCAACAGACGTCAAACTTACTAGTATATGTATCGATTTTCTGATTGAAAGTTCAAATTATGGTGGCATCACTTTGTTATTGATGTTTAAAACGTATCACTTTTTTTGGTTCCAGATTTACTTAATTGGCTAAAAACAAGTCAGCTAAATAAAGTCAATTGGTGTGAACTCACATGTTTGGTGCCGTTTTTAAGTTTTATGGTTTTATCACATTATGATGCAACATAACTGATGTCTGATTCTGTGTATATACTTTTTGTCTAGTGTAAAATACACATGCATGGGTTGACATCAATATAGATGTTATAACACCATTAACCGAACCAAATATAATGTTAATTATATACATATATAATTACGTACATAAACAACGTTGGATTTGAAGTATGATGGCTGGTTAGTAAGCAAATTCGTGTTTTCAGACCAAATATATAAAGAATTTATCTTTATATATGAGCCGGGGATAAGATCATTTATATATATAAATTTTTCGACTGGCATCAACCGTCAAGAGGTAAGAGTAAAAGCACGAGCTGAAATCTTTCTTACAACAAAAACATAACATAGAGACAGAGATTACCACTAAACTAGACCCATGTCCTCGGAACGATAACTAAGTGCACCCACAAAACCAGAGAACACTAACATCCTTAGAGCATCAAGAAAGAACAGAAACACTCGAAGCGATCAAGAGAAGGCCGATGAACAGTTTGCTCGAGTTCTGGAGAGCAAACGCGCTGTTATCTGTAGTGTAATCCGGGTTAATCCCTGTCCCAGTGTTGATTCCTGTGCTATTGCCTCCAAATGCTCCATTGGTTGAGGTCCCTGAATAAGGACTGTTGGTACCACTACCAGGAAGTGTGGTGGTGGTTGAGCTACCTTTTGGACTGGATGTGCCAGGTGACACAGTGGTGCTGCCACCAGAGCCGCTGGAAGAACATAAAGAGTATATCAGACAAGAAACAACTATACTTATGAAATTCAAAACTAGACCAAGTCTTGACGAAAGATATTGCTTTTCAAGGAAGATCTTCCAAGCAAGTTCATATTCTATACTCCAAAACGATAGCAAAAAGAAAAAGAAAAGTCTCAGTTTCTAACAACTGAAGGGTCTTTGACGGGTCCTAAAAAAGATTAAAGGTTTAGAGTATCATATCAGTCAAGAACATGATCATGCGTTCAAACTATAATTCCAATAAAGCATTTGATTTGATTATAGATATGATCAAAAGTGTGAGTAAAGAAATAAAGGAAATTGCGTACTTTTAGAGTTAAAAGGTTCTTAAACAAAGAAGATGTAATCCAATGTACGTTCACAATAGAGTCAAAATTTTGATTACTTATTCTGTTTCCTTTATTCTATTTAAGTAACACTAGTGATGCTGTTTTTTTATATCAAATGTGAATGATGCTATCTCTTTCACAACAAAAGTAAACAAAAACAAAAAAAAAAAGTTGTAAATTGGGACCCAAATCAAACTTTAATCTACTTTTTCTCTTTGCCACAAATATAGAATGAAAACAAGTTGATCACAATTCTTGGTTTTGGTCCCAAAACAAAAAAAAAATGCAAAACGTTTTTTTGTTTTTCAATTTCTTGATAAAGCCATTTGAATCAGAAGCCTACCTGGCACTAGTAGGGAAGTTACATCCTGTATAGCCTGTAAGAAAAAAGTCCAACAAACGCAGGAAAATGTTAGGATATTGATTGAAGCTATAAATTACAAGTCTTTATTCTGTATTTGGCGTATCCATTTTGTCTCAGAATCTTGAATACAAGAGACAAAAACAATAGCCTTCAACTTTCTGTAACTATCAATAATTTGACCACCACATTGAATCCTAACAATCACTCCAAAAAAGCAAGTTTCTTTAGCATTAGGGTCCCTGGTTCTAACTTCTAATTCCCCAAATATAGTTAAAAACACATTGTAAACCAAAGAGCAGCTAAATGAGGATGGCTGAGAGAGAGACTAACTGGGATCGGAGCTGGTGGGAGTGGCAGTGCCTTTAAAATCACAAGTGCCAGAAGACTGGCCCTTCTTTTGGAAGAAGCTATTGACTGCGTAGCTGCAATGAGACCTAACATTGTCAGGGTTGAAGCAAGATTGTTTTGGCTTAATAGGATTACAATCTGCTCCATTTCCACAGGCATAGTCTAGGGTTTGCTGTAGCACTGTATCACTCAGTCCTGTTTTACACACACACCACGAGGCACCTACAGAGACCACAAGAAAGATACCAAACATTACAAGTGATGAAGAAGAATAGATAGCTGTATCTTTCTTCGTTCTATGATGGGAAGCCATCAAGATTTGGGGAAATCTTGAAATCACCGTCTAAATTCAAGATTTGCAAATAACCGACATTCAAGTAAGAAGTGGTGAGAAAACAAGCAGATCAGATAAACCAGTAAGATTTATAAGAGTTTGTGAACTTTGCCAAGAAAAAAAAAACATTTCAAGCCACAAGAAAGAAGCTGCAAAAACGGGAACTTAAACAAAAGGAGAGGAACTTGAAAAAAATGAGATGAACAGAAGACAAATCTCGTTTCTATTATTTAGTTTTTCATATCTTTTTCTCATACTTCAAATTAAATTTAACCAAGGAAATAGCAGGAAGATTGGAGAATAAGTAATGATATACTTACTTAAACAATATATTGAAAATAATGATAATTTTTATTAAAGTCTGTCTAGCAATGACAGAACACTGAGGAACAGTAAAACCCTTAAGTGCTACAAGAACCTTTTACAGACCAAAACTAAAAGGCTTAAGAGTGGAAGTAAGCAAAGAAATCTGAAGAAGAGTGAAAGTACTTACTAGAATGTCCGGCCATGGCTACGAGGAGAAGTGAAAGAAACAGAACAGCCATAGATGCGTTCAGAGAAAATGTCACTGTTATCTCTCTAAAGAAAGAGAAAAAGGGTGGAGATAGAGATAGAGATCTCTAGAGGAAGAAGAAGAAGAATGAGAGAAAAAGAACAGGGAAAGAGAGAGAGAGAGTGATAGAGCAAGTAGAGAGGGGTGGTGAGATGAGAGTGGCTACTTGTTCTGTGTCCTCTTGTCTCTTCTCAAAAACCCTTTTGAGTGCTTTTTTTACATCATTAAAGAACTCAGCTCGTGTAGACTTTTTTTTGTTGTTGTTGTTTTTTTTGTTGTGTGTACGTATATTTGAGATTTAAATTAAAGAGACATCGTATTATCGGTATTAAATAAATAAATGATTCTATATACTTAAAATTGAAAAAGGCCAAATTTTGTGTTTATGGTGAAAAAGCTGAATAAAAAAAGCCTTGTTCATGCTGGGGTATGAGGTGAATAATTTGTTCATTGTGTATTATTGTCCATGTAACTTTTTTTTTATAAAATAGACATAATCAATTAACAGTATTTTCAGAAAAATGTTCAGAATTATTGTCTCTTTTTTTTTTTTGATAAGAAAACTGTCTTGTTTTGAAATTCAAAACTCACCTATAAAACTGAGGAATAATTTAATCATGGTCCACATGTTATGTTATGTCATAAAAATCATAAACGACATCGTTTCTTATTAAACCCGTATACGGGTCACGGGTCGGTTCACGGGTCCTTACAAAACTGTCCATCAAGTACTGAAGCGACGACGTTTTCAAAACGTCCGAGCGATCGCCTTCTTCCTCGGAGAGCCGACCAGACCAGAGGTAAAAAAACACAGACGAGAAGTAGCCTAAACGACGCATAGGACAGGGTTTTTGTCATGCTGGTTCAAATTCCTCGCTTGACAAGCTCTCTCAGAGAGCCATTCGACATCGATCAGGCGTACCTTCGTCGCAAAACTATACTCCAAACTCTTAATAAGCCTCGCAGGTCGAGCTTTTCTCCAAATTCCTGAATTTCACACTTCCTTCGAACCGCTTTCACTCTTTCAGTAGGGTTTTAGCTGCTTCTCTAGGATCCGTTTGGTTTTGCATTGAGTTTAGTTGTTTGTATAGTCTGGTGATCACATTGTCTATGTAAAAGCAAGGGATATGGTAGTTTTCAGAAATTTTTGCTGAACTTGATGACTTCAGTTCTGAACTGAGTATTTAAAAATTATGAGTTTTACTTGTCTGAACTTGATTTGAATTGAATCGTTGTGTTTCTTGTGTATACGATTTCAGCTCTGGGAATCGTCTTGATGAATCTGATCTTGCTAGGAGGATAGTCCATCAATGGGAAGGAGGTGACTTTCTGATAATATAATTTTTGGTTATTTCTGTAAGGGGAAGATACGAGGTAGCGTTTTGTGTTTATTAATTGGAATTGGTGTGACAGCTTCTCCAGAAGTGCGACAAGCATACAAGCAGTTTACTGGAGCTGTCGTGGAGTTGATTGATCGGGAAGTTCCATCTGATGAGTTTCGTGAGGTTGCTTTTGCTGCTTATCGTCTGTTTGGCAAGCCAGCGGAGGAGGACAGTGATATCGATGATAGTAAAAGTATTGCCGAAAAAAAGTAAGTATTGCCGTATTTATATATTTGAATATTGCTTTATGCAAGTATCCAAGCTTTTTTACTTCTTTAGGGTGTTCAGATGTAATTGAGGTTTGCTTATATTCTACAGGTTAGAGTTGCAAAATCTTGTCGGACATGCTGTCTCAGATGCTAATGTAAAAAAAGTGGCCTCCGTAGCTCGGGCGCTTTACTCAATACAGCCTACTCATCAGTCTGAGGCAGACGCTAATGAAGTTGATGGGGGAGCTGAGTTTGGTGCTGACCTTGTTTTCAATCTACCAGCTCGTTTCCTGGTGGAAGTATTTGTTGAGGAAAAAGGATTTCAGGATGTGGAAAGCAATGACACTAGTGCATCATTTTCTCAAGGATGGAGTGATGTTAGCAACATGACAAAGAATCAAAGTGCAGGAAAATTCGATTTAAGTTGGCTAAGAGATGCATGTGGTCAGATGGTTAGGGAAACTAATTCACAACTATCCCGTGAAGAACTGGCTATGGCTATATGCAGGTTTCTGGATTCCGATAAACCCGGTGAGGAGGTATGTAATTTTCGGTCGAACAAAGCCTGTTCCTGGAGCTTCATATTTTCCAACGAAAGTAGATGATATTTGAATATTTTGTTCTTCAGATAGCTGGGGATCTGCTGGATCTTGTTGGAGATAGTGCATTTGAGACTGTTCAAGACCTTATTATGGTAAGGCCTTAGCTTGGTTTATTGCTCATTCATCTGAAGTCTGCGGTTTCACACTTTGTGCCTGATTTGCTTTAGATTCTACACTCTTTCAGTATGGTATGACTTTATGTGCCACAACTATGTTTATTTTTTTGGGGTGAAATAATGATCTTGTGAACCGGTTTTTATGGTGTATGTGTGTGTCTGTGTGTGAGTGCGCATATGTATAGTAGGGCTGTTACTTAGGTATATACTAAATTTTATATTCTGCTTTCAAGTGTCTTAGAAATTTGAATGGTGTCTGACTTGTTTATTCCCTTTCAGCATCGAAAAGAGATTGTTGATGCTATCCATCATGGTCAAATGATTCTCAAATCTGACAAAACAGCTTCAACGGCTCAATCTCGGATGCCTACCTATGGCACACAGGTACGGCTATTTTTGTGAGGCCTTCCCTTCTGATGTTGGGTATAATTCTTTTTCTTTGGCCGCAGTAATGATTGCACTCTGCCACCTTTCAGGTTACTGTTCAAACAGAGTCTGCAAAGCAAATTGAAAAACTTCGGCGTAAAGAGGAAAAGAAAAACAAACGAAATGCTGAGCTTGGTTTGGAGAGTGAAATATCAGAGGCCAATTTTTCTTCTTTACTTGAGGCAAGTGAAAAGAAGACTGCATTTGAGGATTTGATTGGTTCTGGAGAAGCGAATTCTCTTGCATTGGCCCTTCCCCAGGGTACTGTACGGAAGCACTTAAAAGGATATGAGGAAGTCTTTATCCCGCCAACCCCTACTGCACAAATGAAACCTGGCGAGAAGCTGGTATGTCTCGTCCATATCCACTGGCAGATGAAAATTTCTTAAAGCGACACTTTTTTCATGCCGAAATTATCATCAAGTGTTTTTTATTATATAGATGGCATTATAGCTTTTTCTGCCAGATTGCATGCATCTAACTATAATTTCTTATATGTTTCTAGATTGAGATAAAAGAGTTAGATGACTTCGCCCAAGCTGCTTTTCATGGTTACAAGTCTTTAAATCGTATTCAGAGTCGCATATTTCAGACAGTTTACCACACCAACGAGAATATATTGGTGAGTCATATGATAACTTTTGTCCATACCGAACGGCGATGCCAGTTAGCAAGTCAAGCATAAGTGCATAACTATATTCTGCACTATGTAGGTCTGTGCTCCAACAGGAGCTGGTAAAACGAATATAGCTATGATTTCTGTTCTACATGAGGTAAGTTTTTAAATTTACCAGTTTTTAATCGCAATTCGTGCTAAAAAAAGTTGATATTTACTTTACTAAGAGCAAAGTGTTTCTTGTTAAATGTGGTTTATGTTGTTATAGTCACACTGATATTTTTGAAATGATCTTGCAGATCAAACAACACTTCAGGGATGGCTACTTGCACAAAAACGAGTTTAAGATTGTTTATGTAGCTCCGATGAAGGTAAAAACAATTTAATATAATCTTATGGATGACTTTTTTTTTGTAAATTTTGTAATTTACAATTTTTTATTTGTAGGCTTTAGCGGCAGAGGTCACGTCAGCATTTAGCCGTCGTCTAGCTCCATTAAATATGATTGTGAAGGAGCTTACAGGAGATATGCAACTCACGAAGACTGAACTTGAAGAAACTCAGGTTTCATTTTAACTATACTTAATTCGCTTGTGGAGACATGTAGAAACTGACATGTAGAAACTGGTATTTACTTGTTATTTATCAATTGTATCAGATGATAGTGACAACACCAGAGAAATGGGATGTCATTACTCGCAAAAGCAGTGACATGTCATTGTCAATGCTAGTAAAACTATTGATCATTGATGAAGTGCATCTTCTGAATGATGACAGAGGTGCAGTGATAGAGGCCCTAGTTGCTCGGACTCTCCGTCAGGTAATGTTTTGGCCGTGAAAATTGGTTTCCCTAAAGTAATTCTTCAAGTTGTAACTGCACTCCTTATGTTTCAGCAGGTTAACATCTTGCTGACTTTTGCTTTGTTTGTCAGGTGGAGTCAACACAAACAATGATAAGAATTGTAGGCCTGTCAGCTACTTTACCAAGCTACCTACAGGTCTTTTGCAAAATGATATATATCTCTGTCACGATGTCTTACTTCACATATCCTATTTTTTCTCAGGAAATTAGGGTCGGTCAAAATTACTTCTTTTAACTTTTTTGTGGGTGGATTCCAGGTTGCTCAGTTTCTACGAGTGAATCCAGACACTGGCCTCTTCTATTTTGATTCGAGTTATCGTCCAGTTCCCTTAGCTCAACAGTACATTGGCATCACTGAGCATAACTTTGCTGCTAGAAACGTATTGTTAAATGATATTTGCTACAAAAAGGTCTCTATCTCGAGGAAGGACTCTTTTTGTTTATGTGAAAATGGACAAGTCACTTATCAATCTGGTAATGCTTTCATGTTAGGTTGTTGATTCAGTTAAACAAGGTCATCAAGCAATGATTTTTGTTCATTCCCGAAAAGACACTTCAAAAACAGCTGAGAAACTGGTACATGATATCTTACCTATTTATATTCAGCTTCTACTTTTTACCTGATGTTATCCAAAAGACTAAAACACATGCAGTTGTGATTGTGCGTTTCCTGAAATCTTAAATATTGTGTATGAGGATGATCTCACTGAAAATATGTGGTTTCAAAGGATTTCGGAATCCAAATCTACAAGTACATGACTTTAATATTTTCTCTCTTGCAGGTTGATCTTGCCCGGCAATATGAAACTCTGGATTTGTTCGTCAATGAGACTCATCCTCAATTTCAACTGATGAAGGTAAAATTATGGAGTATACATCATCTTTTTCGATGTCATTGTTGGTGTTAACTTCTTA